ATTTGGTATAAAAATAAAATAAATTTCGGTAGAAGAAAATAAATAAACTAGAGTTAGATAAAATAAAATAAAAAATGAGTAGATAAAATAAAATAAAATAAAATAAATAATAATACATAAGTAATAATTGAATATAAAAGTATGGTCAGAAAAGAAATTTATAATATTTAGAGATAATTAAGTATAAAAGTTAAGAATAGGAAATAAAAATTAATTAAAGGTAAAAGTATAAATATTTTATCTGATAGTAATTATTTTCGGGTTCATTGTTTAAACTTTCTCTAGATCTTCTCGGGGTCCATCTCAGTGCTCCTCCCAGGATCAAAATTCAAGACTAGAATGTTCGCTTTCCACCACTGTGAGTAATAATATATAATGCATTTCAACATGCATTGCCATAGCATTTTTTTTTACAAAACTATTATATATCATATAATATATTTTTATATATAAAGCTTCAAGTTATTTTTATGTTGATAATTTGTATATTTTTGATGTATGGTGCAGTACATTGAAGAATTTGTGTTGAATAGATTGTTGTGTGCATTATATTGTGAATTTGTTTGTGCTTTGTGTGGAATTGGGATGAAGTGGGTCACCATGGGTTTGTGAGAATGGTATATGTGATATGGATCCTGAATATGATATGAAATTTGGCCGGGTAAATGGAAGATCGGCGCCCCGTGTGCACCTACTGCTATGATCTGTGTGATATGGAAAACCACAGGTTGGTTTCTTTATTGGGCGCACCTGATTTGATCGCAGCCCGCAGGGTGGCCTCCTGTTGTGAGCGCTTGATGATCTAGATTTGATGGAGACGACCGGGTTACCTCCTGTTGGGAATAGAGAGAATGGAAAAATAATGAGAGGAAAGATGAGAATGGAAAACATAAGAGGGAGCTGGTCAAGTGAGGAATTAGACCGGTCGGGCCAGTTATCGGGGATCGGCCTTGCACCTGGTGCCCATGTGAGGAGGATGAAGCCATGTTTGAGAAGAGAAGAGGACGGACTCATCGGCGGGTTCGGTGACTCCACGACTAATTTCCACGTGATGTGATGTAATTTGAAAAAGGTGATATGTTTTGTGGGTGCTTGATGTAATGTTCATATGTTGTTGTAATTCATTCAGTATACTAGGGTGCATTTTTGCTTGACTGTATGTGGTGTGTAATTTATTTATTTTATTCACTGATGTTGCAAAACTCACCCCCTTCTCTCCAAACCTCCCAGGGTTTTACTAGGATAGCAGTCTGATCCGACTGAAAGCTCTGGCAATCTTCTCCGACAGAGTTCCATAAATGTTAACTTTTATATTCTTGATATTAATTTTGAATGTATAAATTTTTTTTTATCAGATGTTTTTGGACTCTGCAGTTATAGGGTGTCTATTTTAAATTGGGCTTTATTGTAGCACTACGCTATTAAATTAATTTATTTGTGCAATTTACTGTAGGTTAATACTAGTTAAAGCCTATTGTAATTATGAGTTTATTGTGGAATTAGCCACTGGTTAAAATTTTATGTATTATTTGATATTGGGCCAGATGTGAAATGTTATAAAAACTTATATCTTAAGGTCATATGGGCTTAATCTGGTTTTTGTTGAAATTAGGAGGAATCATGGTAGACAGATTGAATAATTTAGGCTTACTCCGGGGCGCTTACTACGGGCCTCGGGGGCCTTAAGCTTACCTGGGCCCTAGTGCCGGTCCGGCCCACGGAAACGGGTCGTGACAAAAATAATCAAGCAAAAGAAATAATATATCATTATATGTGCTTTTATTTTTTTAATAAAATGGCATTAGACGTCAAATAAAAAGCGAAAATTATTATTTTGTTCTTGAGGTCTGCCATAATTATTTAAGTAGCCTTCGACATTTATACATATATTTATAACGTCCCTGAGATTTGCTATCGTCATATTAATTGATCCTTCCGTCAAAAAAATACATTTTTTCTGTTAATTTTAAGAAGAAAAGATGAAATTATCCTTTGAAAAAATAATTATTTCGTCCCTGAGATTTGCCATAATTATTAAGTAATCCTCGACATTTATACAAGTATTTATAATGTCTTTGAGGTTTATTTCCGTCATATTAATTGGTCCTTCCATAAAAAAAAAAAAAACACTTTTTCCGTTAATTTTGAGTAGAAAAGACGAAATTATCCTTAATTTTGAGTAGAAAAGACGAAATTATCCTTTATAAGTTTTCATTGACATTATTATTAATCTCTTTCCTCTAAAATACCTAAAACTCATATTTTCACATCTTCCTCGACCCAATACGGCCTTCATTGCCACTTGCAGCCACCCAGAATATATTTATTTCATTTAAAATCTCATGTCTATCTATCCATATGGATTCTTTTCTTAAACAAAAAAAGGGTTTTTTAACAATTAATTACCAGAGTTAGTGATTAAATTACAATACGATGAAGAACAGGAAACATTCTCGTATGAGGAAGACTTCCTTGGATAAAAAATTGGCTGTCCTTGTTGATAGCAAGAGACAACACATGGCTCGCATTGAGTCCAAGTAATGTCACTACCAGTATCGAAAATGAGAGAGAGATCCTTTTGTGGCGTTCCAAGGGACACAGTGACAAAGTAATTTACGGTGCCGATTGCAACACCGGACTGAAGCGGTAGTTTAGCCTGCATCTCGTCAAACTGGCCGGAGTTGTTTCTTCTGGTAAACCTAGCATGAATTGTATCCACTCGTAACTGGTCTTGAAGAAGCATTTCCTGGTAATGAGAGGCAGATATTTCTGTTTTGAAATCATCCTTCATCTTTTCATTGCATGGACCGTCTTTGTGCACTATTTCTAAGGATGAACCTTGCTTATGAACTGAAATACATTTATAATTTCTTCAAATTAATAATTTGTTAACATGCACAACTAATAATTTTGTTAAAGTCGAACTATGCGTGTCTCGGGTTATCCGTATTCTATTTTATCAAATTAATGCAAAATAAAAATTTTCAATTGGGTTCTTGTTTTATATTTTTTTTATATCATAATCACTCTGGTCTAAACTTAGTTCATTCCAATCCACTTCATGAAAATCAAACCAATAAAAATCCTTAATTTTTATAAAACTATCTATACTTTTATCATTTTTTCATGCTTAATAGAAATTATCATCGCTTTTAAGTAAAAAAATTATTTTCATTTAATAAAAAAATTTATTTTCATTTGTTTGGCCATAGACTTAGTTTAGGCAATTCAATAATGTATTGGTTGAGATAGTAAGAGGCCTGTAAAGGTTAAGAACGCAAGATTAATCCCGGATAAAATTTGATTCAATAATATATAAGTTGTTTCAGAAGTTATAAGTTTATGAGTTAAAATGGAGTTTAATATTTATTTTTCCAAACAAAACAGGCTTACTATATTTATATATAAGAGGTTCAATTCATCTTCGTTCGTCAATATACACCAAAATATAGTATAAGCATAGAAGTAGGTGATATTGATATTATATATCCAAATTCCAATCCTCACTCATCAATTGTATGTTTTGCAGGTTCCAAAGGGCAATGTCAAGGTCTGAACTGCCAAGAGAAATCTGAACCCAATTCTCAAAAAATTCTTCTGCAAGACAACCATAGATTTCGTTCATTGAAATCCATTGAAGTGGTAAATAAATATGGGGAAGGGATCCGTTTGCCTCTAACTTTAAACGGAGATGACAACGTTTTGACGACAGTTGGTTTTGGCACTCCTAAAATTGATTTTACTCCTAAAATTGATCTGTTGAGGCGCTTCTACACGGATTTTTGACACAGGGCGAAGCGTTCGCATACAACTGGACTTGGATGCTGCATGCATAATTAATGCAGACGCTGCCCGATCTTCTTAGTGTGTCGACCCCTTCTCTCATCTGTGTCCATAATCTTTATGGCTTCTTCGTTCATATTCTTATAGTTGTTCTTTTGCACTCTATACTTTCCTTGTATAGCATAACTTTATACAGAGGAGAGACTGGAATATTATTTCGCCCGGATTGCGAAACTTGGATTAATTGCAATAATAACCAAGTCCCATTTTTTGACCCTTCTTCATCTTCTACTTCTTCAAATGTTTCTTGCAATCCTTGCAACTACAGAGCGGATTATGCCGATGGAACCTATTCAACTGGGTATTATGCAAATGACACTCTCACTATAACATCAAATCCATATCCTAACTTCGTTTTTGGCTGTGCTCAGGAAATAAAAGGAAATTTTGGTGGGGCAAATGGGTTACTAGGAGTTGGGCCAGGACAGTTATCTTTAATGGCGCAAACTGATTCAAGCTATTTTAGTTTGTTTTGCTACTGTCTTCCAGCAACCGAAAGCTCTACTGGGTATATTGTGTTTGGAGTCCAAGCCGTTGAAACTTGCCAACCTGACAAGAATAAAATGATATCAATAGTACCTGCCAAAACTGACAAATCTACACTTACTAGTTACTCCGTAACACTCACCGCCATAACAATTGGCCAACAAAGGTTACCTATGTCTTCATCTTTGAACGCCGTTATAGACTCAGGAACTGTAATCACACGCCTACCACCTTCTCTATATTCGAGTCTTAGCTCTGCATTTCAGGGGTTGATGTCACAGTACCCAAGAGCTCCTCCGTTTTCTTCATTGTTGGATATATGCTATAATCTCGTTAGCCATACTAATTGGACACCACCAAACATGGTGCTGCAATTTGAAGGTTTGAATGTGCCTTTGGAGCCATCTGCTGTTACATTCAGAGACAAAAACGATTCTCAGGTTTGCTTGGCTTTTGCAAGAAATGTCAAGGAAGATGACACGATCATTATTGGTAATAAACGAACACAGGGCTCTAAATATTTTCTTCGATATCAATAATACAAGGATGGCATTCGGACGCGGTTGCTCATATATATAGCTAATTAGCTACCCATCAAATCATCTCAATCAGCTTCTCTGCATTTTATTATTTCGAAATGTATGATTATCTTAAATAAAATGTATCCACTCTTTGGGATAATTTTCAAGTTTGATTCATACTTATTTTCTGCAATTGTCTTTCAACTATATGTGGGATTATCATTTCTCCACATCTTACAAACTTATTTTCTTATGCAGCTCCACACTCTTAATTACCTACTATATTGTCCAATTACTCCGTTATATTTAAACTCTCCTGGTAAATTTAAGTACTTGTAATCACCATATATTGTTACCAAGCTAATTAGCTACAAGCAGCTGGAGCAAACCCAACTCTTTCCTTTGCAAGATCATGTACAACCTCATACGTCTGTTGCTGAGTATTTCCAAAAATGGCGAACTCACTGTCCTTCTGATTGGGTGCAAAAGCCAGACACACCTTCTCAATCCCGTCCACCACGATTAAAATCCCCGTCACATATATATCCACCTCTACTCCTCCTTTAAAGAAAACACTGATCTTCGGTACTGTTACCGTGTCAAAATCGCTGAAGTCATAACACGTGTCCAAAATGGAAAATCCGTCGGTCATCGGATAGTCTGTCATCATTTCTTGAAACTTGGAGCTCAGTGCAGAGTATACTGTTGGCGGCAATCGAGTAATTACTGTTCCGGAGTCAATGATAGGTCCGGCCGTTTGATAAACTGAAGCAGAAACGGCTAGTTTGTCTCCACCGACGCTTATTCCAGTGATGTCGATGCCATAATAAGGCGTGCTTTGAAAATCTGGGGACATTGGAGTGAATTTCATTGTCTTTCCTATATTGCCCCCGAAACTGAGGTGACCGGTCGAGCTCGATGTAGGTGGTATGCAGTAAGAGAAGAGCTTTTTATATTTCCTAGCAGTTTGGAATGCAAAAGATAATTGGCTCCGGCCAAGTCCAAGCAAACCAGCTGCTCGACCCAGGCGGCCAGCGTTGCTTTGACCGCAACCAAACACGTACTGCAAAAGATAATTGGCTCCGGCCAAGTCCAAGCAAACCAGCTGCTCGACCCAGGCGGCCAGCGTTGCTTTGACCGCAACCAAACACGTACTCGTTGAACGTGTCTGATTTTATGAGCTGGCCCAACTAATTTTAAACAACGTTCCACCACTTTAAAGCCCTCACAAGAGTTGCAAGCTCGCGTTACAGAGCTCAGCGGATCAAACATAGCCTTCACAGGATTAAAAAGTGTAAAATCGAAATAATACTAAACCAACAGGGGATTTCATGAGCTTTTATTATTAATCCTCAAATCAATACAACCAAACGACATGTCACTGCTTACTTAACTAGCATTTAGAACACAAAACCTTGATTAGATTAATTAATCAACTACAACCAGCAGCAGCAAACCCAACCTTCCCTCCACTAACATCATAAATCACCTCGTAAGTTAGTTGCTGCTTATTCCCGAAAATAGCCTTGTCTCTCGGATCACTGTTCGGAGCAAAAGCCAAGCACACCTGCGCCGCCCCATTACCGAAGAAAATTCCAGATTGGGCAACTTCCACATCCGTCGCTCCATTAAACGACAATACAATCTTAGGCACATTAACCGTTTGAAAGTTACTAAAATCATAACAAGTATCCAGTATTGACAGTGGCTGAGCCTTTGGATATTGGGACATCAGTTCTTGGAATGCCGATTGTAGAGCAGAGTAAGCTGCAGGTGGCAGCCGCGTGATCACAGTGCCGGAATCAATGATAGTCCCGGAAGTGGAAAACACTGAATTCGGAATTGACAGTTTCCGACCACCAACAGTTATTCCAGTGAGATCCAGAAAATAAAAGTCAGAGGAAGTTGATGATAGAGGGACAAATTTAGCAGAATTTGATTGAGAAGCGCCCAAGGAGAGAAACCCAGTAGAGCTATCCGATGGAAGGCAATAGGAAAAGAGTTTGTTATAATTTGAAGCTGTTTGTGAGACGACAGATAACTTTCCTCGGCCGAGGCCAAGCAAACCGTCAACGTTTTGGAATGTGCCTTGAATATTCCGAGCACAACCGAAGTAAAAATTGTCGAATGCATCGGTTGTCCCTAAACTTAGCCTTTCTTGGCCCAGAAGTCCAGTAGAGATAGACCCGTCCCCGTATTGTAAGCCATACACACATGTTGATGATGAGGAAGAACATCTTAAAAGGGCTCCTGATATTAACATTAATCTCCTTTAATTTTTATTATAAAACAAAGTGAGAAACCTATCAGAAGAAATTATACCTCCAGTGGAAGAAGAGCAAAGTGGAGAGCTGCAAGGAACGTTGGCATAGGAAGTGGACTGGGTGGGGTCGAAAGTATCGCCGTTTGGCTGACATCTAGCCCAAGTGAGGTCGCTTCCAGTGTCGAATATGAGCTGTAGATCCTTTGTTGGAGTGCCAAGTCCAACGGTAACAATGAAATTGGCTGTGCCAAGTGAAGCGCCTATCTTTGCTGGAAGTGAAGTTGCTTTGGTCTCCTCCAAGTTGCCGGAAATTCTTGAGTGGATTGAATTGACCCGAGATTGATCTTCATGTAAAATCTCCGAGCCATTTGGAGAATTTGCATTGTCTTGATTAAGATGGATGCATGAACCACGCCTGTGAACTACCTTCAGGGTGGCACTATTTTCGGCAACTAAACAAGAACGACGGTATATGATAGTTAGACTTAGTCTTTACAATAATTATTAATTAATTAAACATAAAGTATACAGAGTTGAACAGTTGGATTGTGGTTCATGTCCGCTCAAATTGGTTTTATCCAGTCCAAATAAGGCGTCGCGTTTGAGCTCATATATATATTAAACTAATTACGATCATTGTCTTGATTCGAATAGAGATATTTTTCTGATCATACAATAGGAAAAAAAAAAAAATAAAATAGTAATATTTTTTTTTTAAAGAAAACCTTTTTTAATTGACTTGATGTATGAGATCACCCATATACGAAATGTATGCAAGAAATTTCTTATCCAAAATAAGTGCAATTAGAGCACCTTAATCGATTATTATCACGTAATTGCAATTGAATATATATTAGTATTAATTTGTATTTTGGAATTGAAAAAACATATAATCAAACTACCTTTGGGAGAGTGTTTGCAAGCAGTGGATGGAAGCAGGTTGCTGACTTGAATGGTATGAGTATGTTGATGAAAAAGTTTTTTTTCTTGAAAGGCATGAGCATTCTTTTCTAAGAAGAAGGAGAAAAGGAATAGATAAAAAAGAGAAGCAATGAGGAAGTAGCTATGAGAGAATGAAGTAGCCATATGGACAAATCTTCTTTCTCTCCTGCTTATATTATATTGTTGATCATGTTCCTATTTATAAGCAACTAGAGATGCTTGTCATTTCATTTTAATTTTCCAAGGACTAAGGAAAATGATATAGTCACCTATGTGGGAAGTTTCCTATTATATCCTGCTTATATTATATTGTTGATCATGTTCCTATTTATAAGCAACTAGAGATGCTTGTCATTTCATTTTAATTTTCCAAGGACTAAGGAAAATGATATAGTCACCTATGTGGGAAGTTTCCTATTTCTAATCAACTCAATTAACCATTTAATTTCCAGACAAGAACATATCAATCTTACAAAAGTCCAAAATCAATTCTCATTCTATCCCTTATGTAATTTAAATTAGAAATTACTCTAATTTTCTAGATAAAATTCAATTGTAAATGAGTTTTTCATATTTGTAATAAATTCAAAAATTGAAATTCATTTGCTTTTATTTCTGAAATACTTTTAGCCTAATAATTTTAAAAGGTTAGGAGAATGAGGAGTTTTCTCATATAAACGAATTCATTTATTCTAAACAAGGGGTTAGAGTAATTGTTTATATTTTTAAATGAAAAATTCTTTGTTTTATGAAACATTTTTTGGGCAAAATTATATGAATTATTGTGGTACGGAATTTTAAAAAAAATCTATTTAATTATTATCCTAATTGATATCTAAAAAATTTATTTTTTCATTATTTTATAAATAATAAAAAATAGAATCTAATTTACAAAAAAAAAAAAAAAAAAAAAAACACAAAAAAAAAAAAAAAAAAAAAAACAACAAAAATAGAATCTTAAATTTTCCCCCGGCGGAAAAGCCGTGAATGGTTGCAGGTCAATGGAAATGGAGTCCAGCCACTAAATATTTCCATTGGGCCCGTGATTAGTTGTTGTAAACGGAGGACTTTTTGGTCCGCAGTCTTTTAGTATTTAAATAATGATATTATACTCATAGACGACTTGGACTCGTTGAGCTGCATTCAGCTTATTTAAATTTAAATAAATTTAAGTGTGTATAATTTCAGAATAATTGCAAAAGTAAGTTGTTTATTGATATATTCACATTTAATTTATTTTTTAACCTCATTCTCAAAAAAAAAAAAAAAATTAACAAAAAATTCTTAAAAGTAGTTCTTTAATTACTTTTCTAATAAAATATAATCAACATAAAAATATTTGATTAAATAACATAACAATTATTTTAATTGGCAATGGAGGAAAATGAAAGATCCAATCTCATACTGATTTTTTTAGTTAATTTTTTTTATTAAATCATATTACTTAATAATTAATTGACATCGCTAAATATTAATCAAATATGATTTAATTGAATTCTTTTATTTTTTATAAAATATATAAATTAGTAAAATTCAGTTTCAAATCTCCGGTCACAAAAGTTTTTCATTTATTTAATGGCAAGAATTGTCTTTGTGGTTAATGGCAGCAACAAAATAATCAAGGAAAAGAATAGAAGAAAAGAAATAATATATCATGATATGTGCTTTTATTTTTTAATAAAATGGCATTAGACGTCAAATAAAAATAATGTAACTTAGTACGTGACTAAAGAATGTTAAGACAGTTTCTAAAAAAAAATATTATTTTTATATTAAAATATAAATTGTTTTTAGTAATTATTTTATTTTAAAATATAAATTAATTTAAATGTTTTAGATACATTTAATGTGATTTGACCTATTCCGGTTTGAGAGGCTGCCGAAGCCCGGTCAAGCACTGTCCATATGGTTGCATTTATGAAGGGACACGAGGACTGTGTCTGAGCACATAAAACACACACTATTTTGCTTTTGTATACTTCTTAGACCGGTCATGATGTTATCTAATTTCATTTTTTAAAAATAGTTATTATTTTATTTTCTTTTAATACATGATTAGAAATATTATTATTTTAATAAAAATTTTTACTTGGTCTATGAATGAAATCATTAATCTGTATAGGCAAATCAATTTTATCTTTAATAATTGCGTATAATTTGATATTTAATAAGAAATGAAGTGTTAAAATCATAGACAAGAAATAAGATAATAATTGGAATTATATAATATAATAAGAAAATCCATATATGAACAAAGAAAAAGGTTACACGTTACTTCCTTAAAAATTTAAAAGTACAGCACTCTATCTCCCTATGGACAGCTTTATTTATTTTCCTATAGATCAAATTAAAGCTAACTGCAACCAGCAGGAGAAAACCCAATCTTTCCTCCATTGATATCATAAATCACCTCATAAGTTCGTTGCTGCGTATTCCCTAAAATGGCTTTGTCTCCTGCATCACCATTCGCAGCAAAAGCCAAGCACGCCTGATCCACCCCCGTGGCAAAGAATGTTCCCGTTTTGTCAACTTCCACATCTGTCGTTCCGCTAAACGACAACACAATCTTAGGAAAAGTGATCGTTTGTGTCTTGCTAAAATCAAAGCAAGTGTCCAGTATTGACAGTGGGGCAGCCACTGGATATTTAGCCATCTTTTTTTTGAATGCCGATCGCAGAGCAGAGTAAGCTGCAGGTGGTAGCCGGGTGATCACGGTGCCCGAATCAATTATTGTGCCGGCAGTTGAAAACACTGACGTTGGAATTGACAGTTTTTGGCCACCAACTGTTATTCCGGTGAGACTCAGATAATAAAAGTCGGAGGAAGTCGTTAATAGAGGGACAAATTTAGCAGATTTTGATTGAGAAGCGCCGAAAGAGAGATAACCAGTTGAGCTAGCCGTTGGAAGACAATAGGAAAACAGTTTTTTGTATTTTGAAGCGGTTTGTGAGACGATTGATAACTTATCTCGGCCGAGGCCAAGCAAACCGTCAGCTTTTCCGAACAGGCCTTCAATATCCTGACCACAACCGAAATAAAATTTGTCATATGAATCCTTCTTACCAAGAGTTAGCTTGTCTTGGCCCAAAAATCCAGCAGAGTAAGATCCGTCGCCGTATTGTACACCATACGCACATGTTGAGGAGGAACATATCGAACGGCCGCCTGATATTATTAATTTGTACAATATTAATCTTTTAATTTTTCCAAAATAAAGTGAGAAATGAATTCAAATACCTCCAGTGGAAGTGCAAAGCTGACTGCGGCAAGAAATATTGGCATAGGAAGCGGACTTGGTCGGATCGAAAGTATCGACTTGTGGCTTGCACCTTGTCCAAGTGAGGTCGCTTCCAGTGTCGAACACGACCGGAAGATCCTTTTTTGGGGTGCCAAGTCCTATGGTAACAATGTAATTACTTGTGCCAAGAGAGGCACCTATCTTCGCCGGAAGTCTAGTTGCCTTTGTCTCCTCCAAGTTGCCGGAGGTCTTGGAAATTCTTGCGTGGATTGAATCGACCCGAGATTGATCTTCAAGCAAAATCTCCGAGACATTTGGAGAATTTGCATTGTCTTGATTAAGATGGTTGCATGAACCGCGCCTGTGAACTACCTTCAGGGTGGCACTATTTTCGGCAACTGTAAAATAATAGATAACGATGAGAGTTAGATTCTGTCACAATATAAAAATCAATTTTAAAGTTTATTTCATCGAGCAATTAGTGTGTCGTTTTTCGTTCCAAGTTCTAACACAGAAAAGGTTGAGAGTTGAAAAAGATTTAATGAAACCACCTTTGGTGGAGTGTTTGCAAGCAGTTGATGGAAACAAGTTGCTGACTTCAATGGTATGAGTAAGTTGATGAGAAATCTTTCTTGCTTGAAGAGCATGGGCTTCTTTTTCTAAGGAGAAGAAAAGGAATAGACAAAGAAGAGAAGCACAGAGGAAGTAGCAATGGCTATGAGAGAATGAAGTAGCCATATATGGACCGATCTTCTTTCTCTACTTTCTTAGTTATGGACTCCTGCTTATCGTTGACAGTTCCGATTTATAAGCAAGGACTAGAGATTCCACTCATTAGTGCTTCCAGCTAACAATTAAAGGGAAAATTTAAAATACAGGTACGATGGCTCTACTCGTGTACTAAATTAACCAAAATGAAATTTTTTATTAAAATAAGGGTATTTTTAATAATATAATAAAAAAAAATAAAATCAAAACACTTTTTAAAAATTTTTACTGCCATAGATTTAGTCCACAAGCGTAGCTATAAACCCGTAATTTTCATCAATTAAATGCAATTTCATTTTAATATAAAAAAAAGGGATTATAGCAATTTTGGAAAAATTGTACTCCATTCTATAAAGGTTATTAAAGGTGAAGTTGACTTCCCTATACAATTGACTTATGAGTGGACTGTGCAAAATTATTTCGTTTTTATTAAGTCCATATATTCAATTATAAATTTTATAATTCATTTTTATTAAAATTTTTATATAATAATTAAAGAAGCAATTATATCACTTAAGGTATAATAAAATATATTTTGATTGAATTAAATTAGCCTTATAATTTTCTATTTTGCCACTAAAATTATAAGAGAAACCAATCAGGCACTCTCCAATTGATTTTTTCACTTATGCAAAGAGTCCGGTTTATAATTTTTTATAAGAATTTTCATGGATTTGATGAGAATTACTTCTATTGTGTAGCTGAAATCTTATTTTGCCCTATTACCCACTAAATAAAAAAAATTTAATTATGTTAAAAATGTGAGGTAATTTATTTCTGTCACATTTTATTAAAAATTATTTAAACAATAGAAATATAGAGAAAAAAAAAGGGTGCCCTGCCCAAGACGTACGTCGATTATTGCATGAAGGGCCCAACGCCGTATGGAATTTTAATTAATTTTCCACAGTCTAATAAAAGCCGCGAATGGTTCCACTGAGAAGCGGCCGTGATTAGTTCCATGTAAACGGAGGACTGTGGTCCGCAGCTTGCAAATTGCAACTTTGACTGCAAATGCAACAAGTCTTTCAATCACACGGTTTTGTAATCGGGTGATTTTACAACTTAAATTTTTCAATTTCCTTTAAATTATATAATCTAATTTAATTTCTGAATACCTTCAATTAACATAATAATTTTATCAGCAACCCATCAACCTGATATACATGTTCACACACGTGATCTTTCCACTATGCACAATTACCAATCAATGTTTCATTTCAAACTACCAAGACTAGTAAAGTAACAAGTGGCTAATCCAACAAATAAAGTTGTAAACTTTAACCAAAACTACCAAACCAAGAAAGGGATAGTTGCAAAATTGACAAAGACTCAAACGCTCAGTCAGGAGTGTGAAAAGTGGAAATTTTAGTGGGCAATCTGTTTCTCATCTTGGTTGAGATGCCTAGCAAAATCTGGGTCACTGCTCTTCAAATTCAGTGATATGGGTCCTACCACTTTTTCCATGAGCAGAGAATGAAAAAGGAACTTTCTTTTGCCGATGAATGTGCTTTTGAGCGTAGAGAAAAGAAGGAATGCCGAAATTTTAAGCTGAAAAGGCTAAAGATTACACTTTGTAGTTATAAAAATGAAAATCGCCGTCAAAGAAATTTATGAACCGAAATTGCTTGTAGATTATAAAAAGTTGATTACAATATATTGATTTTGTATAATAAGGAAAAGTCATTAGTATACACAATTTGCAAGCTTTGCTTTACCCATTACAAACTATAATTATAGATGACTTGGTCCCCCTATTTAGTTCACAAATCAAGTTTCTATTTTTTTATTGATCATAATCCAATTCATTTGTTATATATCTTATTAATTATTATGTGAATCATCAGCTACAGCCGCCCGCAGCGAACCCGATCTTTCCGGCAGCAACATCGTACACCACTTCAAGTGTCTGTTGCTGGACATTCCCAAAAATGGCCACGTCAGTTGCGTCACTATTTCCGGCGAAGGCCAAGCACACTTGTGATGGTCTGTTCACGTAAAATACTCCAGTCACGTCAATATCCACCTCGGTTCCACCGTTAAAGAAAAACCCAATCTTTGGCACGCTTATTGTCTTATAGTTGGTAAAATCATAGCACGTGTCAAGAATTGATAACGCCGGCGCTGTCGGATACTTAGACATCTGTTGCCGGAAAGTCGACCTTAAAGCAGAATATGCCGCGGGTGGCAACCGAGTGATTACAGTGCCTGAGTCGATGATTGCTCCTGCATTTGAAAAGACTGATTGGGAAATTGATAATTTCCGGCCTCCAACGCTGATTCCAGTGAAGTCAAGACCGTAAAAGGAGGAAGCCCCGGATACTGTGGCTAACGGAGTGTATTTAACCGATTGGGAAGGTGAGCCGCCGAAGGTCAGGAATCCAGTTGAGCTAGAGGAGGATGGAAGACAATAGGAGAAGATCTTATTGTATTTTTCTGCAGTTTGTGAGACTAATGAGAGTTTATCGCGGCCCAGACCAAGTAGCCCGGCAGACCCACCGAAGAGACCTTGGTTGTTTTGGCCACAACCGAAATAGAAATTTTCAAAAACATCGCTTGATGTTAAAGTGAGTCTTTCTTTACCGAAGTATCCAACAGAGAAAGAAGAGTCGCCGTATTGGATGCCATATATACATGCTGAAGAGCAGCTAACCGTATTACCTGTTGCAGAAGCGAGAGAATTGCAGAGGGTGGATCCACAAGAAATATTGGAGTAAGATGTTGAAGAGGAAGGATCGAAAATGGGTTCCTTTTGTTGATAGCAAGATCTGAGACAAGGCTGACATTGGGTCCAGGTAAGGTCGCTCCCAGTATCAAAGATTAACGAAAGGTATTTTGCAGGAGTGCCAAGTCCCACACTGACTATGTAATTGCCGGAGCCGACGGTGCTGCCGTCCTTGGCCGGAAGGGTAGTTGAATCGGTCACCTTCGGATCGTTATTATAATTGGACAATTTAGAATGAATTGAATTGACTCTGGATTGATCTTTCTGGAGGATTTGTTCGTGAGTAGGAATTCTTGATTTTTCTTGATTTAGTTCAAAGCATGGCCCGTGCTTGTGGACTACTTTCAACGATGCCTTGTTCTCTGCTCCTGAAATCCAGATATACATCAGCTTAATTTTATTAGTTCATGTTAGTAATTACCTCTTGCTAATAAAGATTATTCGAAAAGGAGAATACGCATATTGGATTTCAGATGGAAAATAATAACTCAATAGAAAGGTTTATTTTCCATTAAGTGAGTGACAGTGAATCTATCGCTATCCTAAAAGCTATTCATTGCTCGAGATTTGGTTCGATAAAAGCTCAATCGAGCTAGTTCGAATCTAAGTTATCCTAGTTCCAACATGTTCATGAATGTATATGATCATATCGGTTGGTATGTTTCCAGAACTAACTTTCAATAAGATTAAGTAAATTTTATGGTTCAGGCCAATAGTTTTACAAAAAGGTAATATTTCTGTGCTATAAGAAATTAGCTAATATTACCAAAAAAAAAAAAAAAAAAAAAAAAAAAAAAAAAAAAAAAAAAAAAAAAAAAGGAGAAGTTAGCCAAAGAGATCGTATACACAGTTGCAAAAAGCAGCTGTGACTGCACTGTATAAAACCACCGGTTGGTGGAGGGTTGTCTTATCCAAGTTGGCAATTTGTTCAATTTTCTTGGGGACAAAATAATCACATGATAGAAGTTAATAATTTTTATATAATCAATTGATTAAAAAATAATTCTCTTATTAAAGGAGAAAATGAAAGTTTTAGTACAAAAAAAATAGTGGAATAAATTGCGTGCGTCACAAATTAAATTTGTTTGACGTTATACGGACAACTTAGCATTTTTCATGCTAAAAGTTAAGTTGATAAATAGGAATAAAGACATTAAATTTTTTTTTTTAATAGAATTTTTTACCAATAATTGCAATATACCAAAATTTTATATAATCAAAACCCTTTTTCTTAATAGGAATTATAAATATTTTCCATCATTATAAATTTTTAAATGCCAATTATATTTTTCTTACGTAAACCTACCGCTCAATAATTAATTCTACTTAAATAATGTTTCAGTAGCCATCAAATTAGACTCTTGGATTCACGGACAGACAAACTGCCCTATACATGGAGACAAAGGACAATTTCAAAAAGAAAAAAAAAATTAGAAAAACAAAATTAATATCGTCTAGTTCAGTAATTTTATTTATTTTTATATAAATATATCAATGTTCCTAAAGAAATACCAACAGTGAAGAAGAAGAAGAAGAAGACGAAGGATAGAAATAATTAACCTTTAGAAGTGGAAGGTTTGCAAGAAGCAGATGGGAGAAGAGAGCTGAGTTGAATAGTATGTGTATGCTGTTGATGAAAAAGATTAGTTTTGAGGTTCTCTTCTGAAACTTTTCTTACCCCTTCAGACGCAAAGGCAAAGGCTTTGGGATTGAACGATGCGAAGAGAAGCCATTGACAGAGAAAAAACCTGAGAGAGAGAGAGAGAGAAGAAGTGAGAAAGAGAGTGGCCATAATGGCAAATTGTGTTTTCAGTGCACTTTCACCTTATTCTTAGACTTCATTTATAGAAAAAGTTAATGAACATTCAATGAATTGTCAATTCTTACACGTCACCCACTTTTAACAAACTATCCTCTGTTTCTATGTCATTCTGCTGATATTTTATATATTTGCTAAATAAAATATTTGAATCAGCGAAAGCAAAGTGAATTATATTGCAATCATGCAGCAAACAGTGTTGATGAAATTAATATAATTAGATATGTTAAATTCGTAAGGAACAGCTCTCTTTTCTATAATTGATAAATGAATAATTGATACGTTGTTAGTATAAAATATATACTGAATTAAAATTTATGTAATTACTAAAAAAAAAATATTAATTTTGAGCGATTGATATAAAGTTGGGTCCATGGTCTAGGAAATTGTTGCTAAAATGATTGTCCAAAACTAAATTATGTGTGAAAGCATCAATAACTTGAAAAGGATTGGAAGCAATAATGAAGTAAAGGGTTCTGATTTAATTTATTTTTACAATGATTGGATCTGGATACCCTAATCTTCATGAAGTTTTAATTATTAGTTGATAGAGTTTGCAAGCAATTTCATTTTTTATACTACTTTCTTTTTTTTCTTTATGAGAAATAATAACCCTGTTGAAAATAAAAACAATCAACTAATTGTGCTGGGGAAACAACTTTTTAAATAGTTTTTAATTAGCGTTTCGACTAGTTAAACGCTGTTGTTTACAGTGTTCGGTAATATAGCGTTTCAACTAGATTTTAAATGTTAAGGTAGCGTTTTATGAAAAATTAATCTATATAACGTTTAGCTTTTAAGATTTCATGAAAAACTACTGATACAGATAACAGTTATCAAAACAGTTAATTTTAATAAACAGACCCTTTAGATATTAGCAGTTAAAATCATTAGGTCATAGAGGAAATTGATATTTTAACAATAACATAAATAATTAGTAGTGGAATAAATTAGGTGTTATCTTAAATTAATCTTAAGCTTGATCTTTTGAATCTTCCTTTGTACTTAATGGGTACATTAGGATCGAACTTAATTCATCAAAACACTTCTAGAGCCTAGTGGGAAGTCCATTGTCTCTAATTTATCAATTTTATAAAACTGCCCACTTGCTGATAAAAATTTTCTTTCTGGTTTCTTAAACACATAAAGAAAAAGGAGCACTTCTTTTATAGGAAATCTCAGATTCTCAATTAACAATATAAAAATTACATTTTGATCCTTCAAAATATAAAAAAATTATATTTAACCCACTAAAATATTTAAATAATTTGATTTGACTCTTTCAAAATGATTTTTCTAATTCCGCCTCAAAAACACGAGTGTGAATAAACAAATAAATAAGTCCACGAAAGACCACCCAAAAAGGCAAATATATCAGTACAAGTGAAAGTGCGTTTAAGCAAATCCATATATAATTATTATGAATATAAAAATTGAAAACAAAATATTATAAAGTAAAAAGGTTTATCCAACGGCAGTAATATTTTTCTTTTTTTAATTTTTGGTAATTTTACCTAACAGTACTATTAAAATTAAACAACTTAACCACACAGGTACAAGGTCAAACCCAGTCAACTATAATAGTTACATGTAATAATTTTTAATTAGCAGCCAATTAGCCATTAATTACCCAGTAAAACAATGTACAAGAAGGCAAGCAAATAAGGGCTATCAAGTTTGATCATCATTCGTGTTTGGAATCTTGCTTAGTTGTAGGCCAAACATATAATTTAATGGGAAATAAAAAAATGAAATGGAATCTTGTAGAGGGGGCCCATGAACGGAATCTTAGCTGTGGGCCAGCAAATAGTAATGAGAAAAAACTTGTAGCAGGTAGTGGAAGAAAGCTGGAAACCCATAGACAGAAAGGGATTGATGGGCTAATGGGTAATGGCCCATCAAATTATAATATAATTTTCTTTTCAACATTTCACATTTTAACACCTTTTTTTTTTTTTTTTTTTTTTTTTTTTTTTTTTTTTTAAATTTCAACACTAGCATACTGTGGCCATTAAAATAAAATAAAAAATAACCATGAATGGATTGAATTTGGAAGGGTTAGGCAAAAATTCCAATCACCTGCAAATTTCTTTATTGTTAATTCTCCATTTTCATACCAACCAGTAATCCAATCATTTCACTCCTTAGCCCTAATTCACCATTATTGCCAACATATGGGTTGGTGCAATTATCTTTATACTTGATTGGGTGTTGGAAAAAGGAGATAGAAGAAAAGGATGTGAAATGGTTGGTTGTTAGAACTTGAATCCACAACATCACACTGCAGTTTAAAAAAATTATTGCATGGTTGATCAATCGATCATGTTATATTATTTCAGACTCAAAGTATAAGTCTTTAAGATTTTTGCATAAAAATTAATAAAGTAATTAAAATACAAGATATTTTGAATATTTTAAAGATATTTTAGTTAAATAGAAAAGTTTTTTTGTGTAAAGAAGCAGACATCACACATTAAGTGAAGATTCCATTTTCAATTTTAGTGCTCCAATGGCAGCAATCTTTGAATCCAAATTCCATGTTCAGATTCATCATTTTGATACCATACAGTAACATGTCTCGAGAAATTCAAAATCTCATAACAAATTTCTCCTCTTATCTTACATTTAAAAAAACGAAAAAATAAAGAAGTGAAAAAAGGGAATGTCATAACTAATCCACCAACCTTTTGTGTATCTGCACAACTTTCGGGCTTCCAAGTTGAATTGAGCTAAGATGAAGGGCGTATGAGTTCTGAGAATATGTAAAAACTAAAACTGCTACTCCTGTCCAAATTCAAAAGAAAGAACCACCTCTGATACATCCAACTACTCTTCAGCTTCAATTTCTTTGGCCTCTTACTCCTCTTCTTCATCACTGGCTTCACCGTCCCTTAACTTCTGCCTCTCCAATTTTTCTTCCTCTTGCAACCGTTTCCACTCATTGACCCATTTGTCCCATTCATCCTTCAACATTCTCCTCTTTTCGCGATCCTGCTCACTCAATTGCAGTGAAAAAATCTTGGTCTTCTGCCTCGTACTTCTTTCTATATTTCTTCAAATTGTTAGCTATGTCTTCCTCCTTTTCAGGACTCAAACATCTTGTGCCTTACATTAGATACATGCTGGAAATAATGCTATGGATTTATTACTTGTAGCCAGATTTCTATCTGTTCCGAGATCCATTGTTCATACAATTCAACTTCTAAATTCATGGAAAAAGTGAATAAAGCATGCATCCAAATCAAATTTTGAATAAAGCATGCAGTTTGTGTTTGTGGTGTGCAGCATGTTTAATTCTAACTTCTCACTCATTCCTTGTCTACGAAATTAATTTAGCATGTTGATTTGTTCCTTTTTTTTTTTTGTTTCGGTGTGAACAAGCACGCATGAAATGACAATTAAACATTAAACATATAAATTACGTTCCACGGTTGAATTCATCTGTCCCATTGAATGTTTGGAAGGTTTGGTTTTCAGTTGAATATAGAAGCTTATGTCTGTAACGAAGTAGACATCACATATCAACCGAAGATTTCATTGTCAATTTTAGCATTTCAAAATCCATGTTCAGATTCATCATTTTGATACCACACAGTAACTTGTCTCGAGAAATTCAAAATCTACAAATCTCACCTCTTATCCAGTCATCCTAACATTTTAAAAAAAGAAAAACCAAAAAAAAAAAAAAAAAAAAACTCAGCCTCTTATCCAGTCATTCCTAACATTTTAAAAAAAGAAAACCAAAAAGAAAAAAAAAAAACAGAAGTGAAAAAAGGGGACGTACGACTAATCTACAAGCCTGTTGTGGGTCGAAATGAGCAGGCTATAATGAGCTTATTGTTAATGTTTGCAAAAAAAAAAAAAAAAAAAAAAAACAGAAGTGAAAAAAGGGGACGTCACAACTAAATCTACCAACCTGTTGGTGGGCGAAATGACAGGCTAAATCCAGCTTATTGTTAATGTTTGCATAGACTGAATAAAGGCGCAAAGGCTTCCTTCTAAGCTGCGACAAACACAAATTAGACACGTATATGGTTCCACAACGACAACAAACACCATAGTAACAACAAACTTCAAGAAATTAATAAACATTTTAGTAATATTTAATAAAATGTTCCAACTTCCAAGGCACTTTAAATAGTACAAACTCAAAATGCCAAAATAATCTACCAGGCTATTGCCTATTGGAAAAATAAACAAGCTAACCCCTGCTTGAGCTTACAGTTAAACTTGCATAAATTGAATAGAATGAAGGGAGCCACAATAAGTAACAGAAGAACTATAAGAAAGGCGATATACTTATCCGGCAAACAAAATTTAAGAAATTGATACAGATCAACAGAGGAGTCAGATCAGGAAAAGCATCAACCATAAGTTCCTAAAACAAATTCAACCACTGAAACTACAAATATCCAACCCGTAGCCAAGCTTTTTGCGTATCTGCACAACTTCACGCATCCAAGTTGGTTGCATTGAACGTATGAACTCTGGGAATATATAAAAACTAATAGTCCTTACTCCTGTCCAAATTCAAACGAAAGTGTCTCTTCTGACACATCCAACAACTCTTCAACTTCAATTTCTTTGGCCTCGTACTCCTCTTCTTCATCACTGGCTTCACCGTCCCTTAACTTCTGCCTCTCCAATTTTTCTTCCTCTTGCAACCGTTTCCACTCATTGACCCATTTGTCCCATTCATCCTTCAACATTCTCCTCTTTTCACGATCCTGCTCACTCAATTGCAATGAAACATCTTGGTCTTCCGCCTCGTACTTCTTACTATATTTCTTCAAATTGTTAGCTATCTCTTCCTCCTTTTCAGGACTCAAGAAGGACGGAGGCCTTGGGCGCCACAAGAACTGGAAATTATATAAAACAGAAAGTGATGCCAAAGTGGTGATTGCATTAAATAGCACTAAGCCCAAACAAAGGAAAGGAAACAAACGTAAAGAAAATGAGAAAAGTCGATTATACTTCATGATTCAACACGCAAGAAAAATGTCAATCCATTTTTAGCAAGACGACCATATAATATTTGCCTTGATAAAACTGCCACTTTGGTTCCAAAATAATATATTAATGCTGCCAAGATACTTCAAAGTTCAAACTAGCAAACTGTGCATAGTTAGTTACTAACATTATCGCAAGGATTCAGGAATTAAATACCACTTTGTACTGACACTATCTCAGTCACGTAACCTAGAACAGCTCCAATAGATGCATAGCACAAGTGGAAATATCCAAAATACCAGTAACATCTTCAAGCAAATGAAATGCCAACTAATCAAGAATAACAAATGCCATCAAATTCCACATTCAAACATTACAATTAAACTTTCACAAACATGACTGACTTTACCTGGAAGAAATGATCCTTAAGTATCCTATAAAGTAGCTTCCCATTGAAAGACCAGATATTGAACCCATTTTCCATTTCATGGTGAACGGAAGTCACTGAAGTTGCAACATACCTACAAACACGACAACCATCACGACCTCAGTTGAAATACAAGAATGATGGATTAGATAATCAATTTACTACAAAAATATTAAGAAAATTCAAATTTTAAACCGTTAAAAACAATAAATTTTTAAAAGAGAAGAAGTATAACAGTAATGCACTTTCATTTGCTTCAAAACAAACCCATAATCAAGCTCATACACATCCTATATCAGCTCCATTAAGATTACCTTCCAGTAGGATCCCATTCAATATCTGTTGCCATAAAATGTTCAGTTGTTGCCATGGTCTCCAGTTCATCAACATTATAGAACTCTAATTGACCATTAAAACCCTTCAACCCAGCAAGTATAATATAGTGGCCAGCAGGTGACCAGAAAAGAGCATTTGCCTGTTTGCCTTTCAGCGTAGTGAGCTTCGAAACCCGACCAGTATTATGAGCAGTCCTCATCGAGTAAAAACTGACATCAGGCCTTGGGCTATCCCCATGAATAACAGCAAATCTATGACCCTTTGGCTCCCAAGCAAAGGCAATGATCTTGTCATTCTTGTTGTCAAGCTCCAATACCTCAATGGGTATGTCCCGTTCTTTTATTCGGAAAAGCTCAAAGCCTGTGTATGTGGTCCTCTTCGATTTTGTATATCGATCAACTTTAACTGCAAGATAGTCCCCACTGCTTTGCCAATACATTTTGCAATCACTAACACTGAAAAGATTCTTCTGCCTCAGTTCCTCTTTACTGGGAACTTGAACAAGAGACACCTGTAAATTTTATAATTGCAGAAAAAAAGTTAAGAGAGGACTTCAAGAAGCAAACCCTATCTATTTGAAACAGAAGTACTCACCCTAGCAGGTTGGTTACCACCAGCAAGTTCAGGAACAAAAAGTGCCAGAATGGGATCAGTTGGAGACCAACTGAAGTCCAGAACATTTTCAACTTTCAAAGACTTCTTGTCAATGAGGCTAAAGGTCTCAGTTTCATAAATAGAAATCATGTTCTTCCCAATTTTTGCAAAGTACTTGTCATCTTTTCCGCCACCCCACCTGGAAAAAACCCGAGAAATTTTCCATCAGACACAATAGTTGATGCCAAACATGGTCCAATTCAGAATCAAACGGAGGAAGAAAAGGTTTCATAGGGACAATATAGGTTGAACAAAAAATAATAAAAAAGAGGACCTGAAAATGGGCCATGACACCCCTGTAACACCACTTGTTCCTCCAACTGCAAACTCATCAGCACTCCCCTTGAAGTCTCTCATCACTTTTCCAGTTCTTACATCAAAAATATTTATGACAATCCTCTGAACATCAAGAAAAATGTTAATAGCAATGCCAGGATAAAGACTATACCTCAATTCCAAAAACAGCAGAATAGAGAAAACTCACATTTGCATCACGAGGATTGCTTGGTTCATGGCTGCTATAGGTAACCAAATATTTCTCACCCGGAGAAAAGTCAATAAGTTTAACCTGCAGGTCACATCATTAAATCTAAATAATATAAAACACAAATGATGCTGACAAAAGGGAGATAAAACAACAGAAGCCAGACCTGGGGATGAGCGTAACGCATCAACCTATTAAAGGCAGTTGCACCACCCCATACAGCAGCTCCCTGCCTGTGAACTGTAGCCAAATAAGTTCCTAGCGGGGACCATTGTACAAAACTCTCAGTCCAATACTGCAATTGCGAGATGTACGTAATTCATCAAATCGACATTAAGAATAGCAGAGAAAAAGAAATCAGATATTATAGGGTGCTTAATATAATTCATAATGAATGCTATTGAAAAAAAGAATAAAGAAAGAAAAATCAGAGTTTGACCAAAATTCTCATCTCACTTATTGTGCAGCATGATAGGATTTAGTATCAATCTCCACTCATACAGAAAGCAGGAGAAAATCAAAGAGCAGCTTACAAGTTATCCTTTAAGAGAGAACAAACAGATTTATAATATGGTTTCAACTCACAGCACGCTTGTAAACAGGGTCAGGCTTCAACTGCCTTGCATCGTTCCAGAAAACCTCAGTATCTGAGCCAGCACAAATCACAAACTGATCCCGTGCTTTTTCATCAGTAAGCCAGTGTTGAAGATTTTCCTGTAACATAGAAGAGCAGAAGCATAGTAAGTACAACATGAATACATCTTCTCAGGTGGAAATTAATCAAGCAGCTTTCAACTTAGATTGAATAAAGGCTTAATCAGCAAATAAGACATTATTCTAGGAGTTCAAACTGCAGATGCTGAATTCTCTGTACTTCAATTCTTGTTATCAGTACAGATTCCTCTCTTTGAAACAGTGGCACCCATGACAATAATGATATGGCTTTTTCTTAGTTCATCAGTATAAAGTGAAGATGAAAGGAACATCAGAAGAAAATGAACTCTATCAACAAGGTTCATATCCTCTAACAGGTTACTACCAGAGCATGTCCGAGCAAATTCAAGAGCATCACAAAACAGTTTGATTGATTGGCAAATTGATCATTTCATAACATTGAAAACAAGGAGTAAGAACGTAATCGATCAAATAGAATAGTGCAAGAAAGAATTGAACTAATCACCCCAGGAACATATGGCCTGATTTCAGGAGGGGCCCATTCATCCGGAACTCTCATAAATTTATCGAAGTCATCAAACATGTTGACAGCAAAAATATGTGCTCTGTCCAACTTGTACCCATTTGTCTTCTCCTTAGCTAGCTCAGCTTCCTGAAATTATGACCAATATCAATCAGATACATTATTCGATAACCACTATATCATGAATCAACAGTATGCCATGCATTACATTATAAATATGCAAGTTGCTAACCAGTCGCTTCTCCTTCAATATAATTATAAGAATGAACAAAAGATTGACATGTTTGTCACATTAATAAGCGTATGAGGGAATTTATAATAAAATGAGAGAGAGATCACGGGAACAGGGAATAATACCTGAGGAGTGTTATATTCGATAAAGCAGTAACCCAAGGTTTTCTGGGTCTCAGGATCAACAGGCATCCAGAGACCATCTTCCTTGATTACACCAATCTGGCTATAAATTTTACGAATCACACCTTCAAGTTTTTCAAACTTTTCTCGGGGAACAACTGGAAGATTATCAACAACAATAATGTTACCGAAGCCGGTCTCAAAATCCAGCTGTTCTTCCTCGTAAACATCCTCATCATCACTGACCAGGAACGAGGGAGAAGTTAGAATTAAACATGCTGTAAACTACAAATACAAACTGCATGCTTTGTTCACTATTCCACTATCCCATAATGTTAAGTTAATAATATTTCTAATCAATACAAAGTAAAATAGTGTTTACCACAGCTGCCAGAGTATCACAATATCGCAAATTATAGTTTCCACGAGTTTACTGATTTTTTGTATGCAACCAAAAATAGCTTGTAATATGGATTAATTTTGACCTACTCACTCCAATAATAGCTTGTGATAGGGATTAATTTTTACCTTATTATTCCAAAACTTTCGTCACGCGGAAGCTGTATAGAGTTGAGGTCGAGCTGGGAGAGGTCGATCCCGGCCGCGACCGCACGAGCCTCCAGCTCGTGCATCATCATTACCTCCGCCATGAAATCCTTCTTTTCCTTTTAGGATCCGAAGAAGACAGAATAGAGAGAGCTGCGAAGAAGACAGGACACAGAGAGCTGTGAAGAAGACAAGAGAGAGAGCCGTTGGCAGTGTGAATTTGGATTCGCCGTCGAAGGAGATATAGAAAACAGAGAGGCGATTTTAGGGTTTTTGGGTAGATGTTCAGGTATTTAATCTATAATCTCTAACGTGTATATATCAATATCTGTATATATATATACAAAGGAGATATAGAAAACAGACGAGGCGATTTAGGGTTTTTGGGGTAGATGTTCAGGTATTTAATCTATAATCTCTAACGTGTATATATCAATATGCTGTATTATATATATTACATATATATAATATAATATATATATATATATAATATATATATATACCTAAGTATCAAACGGGGGAAGATTAAACGCCCTTAGGATTGTTAATTTTATTGGTTAATTAAATAAATCATTAAGCATAATTTTATTTTATTTTAATTAAAAATTTTCAGTTTTATTGATATTTTATTAGTTGATTTAAATTATATTAAACACAATTAATGATAACTTATTCCTATTTTAATTAGGAGATTTTTAATTTTATTAATATTGTATTAATTTAGTAGCAAAGAAAATTTATTGAATTCATCATCGTAACTGTAACTATTGTAGGTTTAATCACTTGCGATGTAAACTTTTATGTGCCTGTCCTTTCACTTCCAAGGACGGGCGGACTATTGTAGGTTTAATCACTTGCGATGTAAATTTTTATGTGCCTGTCCTTTCACTTCCAAGGACGGGCGGAGATTACGACGACTTGACAATAGATTTTAATTTGAATTCTCGTCTCACAGTATCAAGAAAATATATTTTTTATAATATTATTTATATTTATATAATTTGATTAGACGTGAGCTTTTTAGACGTGAGGCTTTTAAAAATAATTTTCACCAAATGATAATATTATATATATATATATATATATATATATATTTTGTAGCAAACAGTATAAATTGAAGTGCATATTATTTTATATAATGTCTCATTTTAAATTTTGTAATATTATAAAATTTAAAATAATATAGATCAAAGTTATTTTTAATATTTAATATTATAAAGAAAAATGAGTTATTAAAATAAAATAAAAAAAAAGTAAAAGTGGTCCAGATCTGATCCTATGAAAATTGATATAAAAATTTAAATAATATAAGATAAAAAGTTATTTTTAATATTTAATATTATAAAGTAAAAATGAGTATAAATAAAAAAAAAAAAAGTAAAGGTGGTCGATCGATCCTATGAAAAATTGAACAGTACAGTAAACATAAAAAAGACTTGTACACTGACGACAATACACAGTTTACTTATGGTATGTTAGAAAAGGAAAAAAAAAAAAAAGAAAGAGGGAAAAATCTATTGCAGGAGAGGATTTAACTTAAACCCTAGAGAATTTCCCAATTCAAATCATCAAAAAAGAAAGAAAAGAAAAATCGAAGATGAAGATAGCAGTAGAGGGTTGTATGCATGGAGATCTGGAGACCGTCTACAAAACGATCCAACACATGGAAAAATTACAAGGCATCAAAATCGACCTACTTCTCTGTTGCGGTGACTTCCAGGTAATGTTCGATTGGAGTTGCAGAGTTCTTTTAAAAAAAAAAAAAAATCATGCGATTAATTTCGGGTTCGGATTGGCGTTTAGGCGGTGAGGAATGAAAGAGACATGGAGAGTTTGAATGTGCCACCGAAATATCGTGAGATGAAGTCATTCTGGAAGTACTATTCGGGCCAAGAAGTCGCTCCTATTCCAACCATCTTCATCGGTGGGAATCATGAAGCTTCCAACTATTTATGGGAACTGTAAGTAACTCTTTCACTTTGGTGTTTCGCCTTTTTAGCTCTAATTTTACAGGATCATTTGTAGAAGAAATAAGTTGCAGAGGTCACTGATATGCGTAGATTATTTTGCTAGATATTATGGAGGATGGGCAGCCCCTAATATATACTTCCTGGGATTTGCTGGGGTGATCAAGTTTGGTAATATTCGTATAGGTGGCCTTTCTGGGATTTATAATAAGCGTCATTATCGTTTAGGTTGGTTTCTTCTTCAACCTGTATGCTTGGTTAAACAATTTTCTGGAAGCATTATTGTTCCCTCTACTTTAGTTAGAATCTGAATCACAATTTGCATGAGCAGGACACTACGAGAGGCCTCCTTATGATCAGAACACCATAAGGTCTGTGTATCATGTTCGAGAGTATGATGTCCACAAACTCATGCAAATTGAGGAACCAATTGACATTTTTCTTTCACATGATTGGCCTCTTGGCATCACTGATTGTGGGAACTGGAAGCAACTTGTTCGACACAAACAGCATTTTGAGAATGAGGTGATTGTAATTCATCTATAAAGGAATAAACTTAAACGAGATTTTTTATTGATATTTTATCTTTTGAACTGTCTAACAACAAGCAGCCATTTGTTTTCCTTTTCTAACTGTCATTTATGTTCATTTATATATTATTTTATAACTGAAACAAATAGAAGAAAGCAAATGTATATCTGGTTTTAGAGAATATAGAGCTTTACCATCTCAATAAGCTTATTTGCATCACCATTTAACTTGTCTTCTTGGTCAAACACATTGGTGCCTACTTAAGTTGTTATCAATGTTTCTAGATTCGGGAAAGAACTCTTGGAAGTAATGCTGCTGCTCAGTTGCTGGAAAGATTGAGACCTCCTTATTGGTTTTCAGCTCACCTACACTGCAAATTTGCTGCTCTTGTTCAACATGGGGAAAGTGGCCCTGTTACAAAATTTCTTGCACTTGATAAGTGTCTTCCTGGACGCAAATTTTTACAGGTATGTATAGTAATATTTGATTGTTGTCTATAGCAAGCTTGTAGGTCATTGTTGGAAGCTTGTGCAATCACTTAAGGCATCCAATGATTTCACAGATTATTGATGTAGAGTCTGAGCCTGCACCTTATGAAATTCAATATGATGAAGAATGGCTGGCAATAACCAGGAAATTCAACCCTATCTTTCCATTAACATTCAAAAATGCAAATTTCGGGTGTGTATAAATATTGAACTACTGTATAGAATTATTAACATGAGTTTGCAATCCTCTTTTCTTATAAAAAAAAATTCTGTTGTCTTTGGCTGTTGATAACTTTATGGTGTCATGTGATAGGAGTACACAGCTTGAAATCCAAGAGTGTCGAGACTGGGTTAGGAGCAGACTACAATCAAGGGGAGCGAAACCTTTCGAATTTGCACAGACTGTTCCGTCTTTTGTTTGCACCCAATCTGGCTCAAAGAATGCCTTTGTTGGTAACGCTAATTTAGTTTTTGCAATGGTTGTTGATTGGCCTGTGTTTGTTGTTACTTGTTATAGAAGTATATAAATCGCTAGTGTCTTTAGATTCAGATATTTCAGCCTCTGTGGTTTTGTAATTTCTAAAATTCAACACTGCCTTTCATTAGAAATTTGTGGGAGAATGCATCAAATAGCTCATTCATTAACAATAGTTCATGCAGGTTCTTGACATGACTGGCTAATTCCTCCTCTCTCTTCTGTTGTGCAGACTGTCCTAGGAATCCTCAAACAGTATCTTTGATGCAGCTTTTGGAGCTTCCTTATCTTCTTGACTCTGTATCAGAATCAAGAGAATCAACTTTTACTCCTGCACCACTAATTGGAGGAGGTAATCTATGTTGCTTTTCTGTTACAAAATTATTGCAGTAAGTTTGACTTGGATGGTCTAGATGCAAGGTCTTGGGGCACCCATGTCATTATGAAATTTGTCGCATATGACATGCACTGGTGAGATTGTTGTAGTTCGGCTATTGATACTATTTAATATTTTTAAAACTGATTTTGCATATCAATAGGTTCTTCTGTTGAGGATAGCGAAGAAATTCCCATAGATGATGTGGATGAATTAGAAGAACTTGCGGAGGTTGATGGTGTGGAAACTGGAAACTAATGATTTGAGAAAACAAATATGGGTAATAATGATACCTTTTATTACCACCTATACTTCTTCGGATAAAGCTTTTATTATATCTTAGCTTGGATGAAACAAGCACACGCAACAACCACCTTCAGCCCCTCTTTGTTTACGAGCCATGGTGATTTCGTTGTCCTCTTCAAAAAATATGCTGTTGGAACAGTTTTCAACAGTTCCTTCAAGAAATTTTTTGTATTAAATTATCAAATGTAGTCAAGAGAAAAAGTGATGATCTGCATGGGAAGAGAAAGGAGGATTACAGCCGTTGGGTTTCTGACGTAGAAGGAGATGGCTCACCAACCAGTACCCAGCACAGGTGATGGCTGATTGAACAACTGCCAAGGCAAAGGCCAAGTCTCGTTTCAGGCATTGGCTTCTGGTGCAGAAATGATTATCGATTTTGCCATGGAGGAAGACCGGAAGTTGAAGATACTTTTTCTAGCCCAGAATTGCTACTTGAGTAGGGCCTAGTCATGTTCATTTGATTTGAAATTTCAACTTTTGATCAATTAAAGTTTATATATCGAGTAGAATATTAAGTATTGTGTATCAGTATTGTATTTATGTTCATGCGATTCAAAGTGATTTTATTGTAGAAGGTGACAAGACAACGCTCCAATCTGCCTCTCTTTCTCTGTATGATAATTAGTTGGCGTTCACATGCGAATGAGCGTTGCCTCTGGAGCCCTGCCCTAATCAATTCTATATATTTGCCCATTTGGACGATAAGGAAGCATTAGATGCTAGGCATTGATATACTTTTGGTACAGTTCCATTTTTGACATTTGTTTTGGTTTTGGATCTTTGGTGAAAGGCCCTAATAAATTCTTGCACCAGCAGCACCGGATGACAAGTCCGAAATAAGTGAATACTAAATGTGAAAGCTATAAGAAGAATGTGCATACAATAAGTTAACCTCGAGCTCAATATCTTCTCCTACAGTCTTAACTGTTTGACTAAAAACCCATCTAACTTCTGACATTACCAAGCCCACATAAATGCAACCTTAATTGCAAACATACAAGATGGTCACTGTTCAGTCCCTTTGCAGTACTCTCTTGAAATGCATGACTAGAAATAAAGACTAGACTCTATAAGCACAAGGCAAGGCTGTGTTTCAATCACCCAAAATGCCAATGGAGACAAAGCCTGTACTATTTTCTTCTGAATCCCATTTTCATTATTTTCTCTTTTTATTTATTCTCTTTGTTATTGTTGTTTCTTCTTCTTCTTCTTCTTCTTCTTCAAGCCTTTCTTTTAACTTTTATGAAAGTTCATGCCCATCTGCTGAATTTGTAGTTGCAAACACAGTGAGATCAGCTTCCTCTTCCGATCCAACCATTCCAGGGAAGCTCCTCCGCTTGCTATTCCATGACTGCTTTGTGAAGGTGAGTGCATTTGTCATGCCACATTTTGGGTATGCCTCCACAATACTAGTCACTCGTTTTTGTATCAGTAACATTTTTTTTCCTAAAGCATAATATAAAGTATAACTGTTGTTACATTTTTTATTATCCATTTCTTACTGATGGAGCGATTAACAAAACCATGGCTAACAAGGTCCTGATTTCTTGAAATCAAGATTTGTATATGCTTGTTTAGAATTTTACTTCATTGTTCTTATATGGATTTGAAACGGAAACTGTTTTGAACAGAAAAAAGAAAAATCCTTACAAATGCATGGTTGTAATGGTTGCAGGGATGTGATGCATCTGTGCTGCTACAAGGAAATGAGACGGAGCGAAGTGATCCAGCAAACACATCTCTGGGAGGATTTTCAGTTATCGATTCAGCTAAAAGACTACTTGAAATATTCTGTCCAGGAACTGTTTCTTGCGCTGATATTTTGGCTTTGGCTGCAAGAGATGCTGTTACAATTGTAAGAAAGTTTCTGATAATTCTTTTATTCCATAAAGTACTTGTTGATTATCCACTCATGGTAACAAAATGGAAACAGACTGGAGGACCTGCTATTCAAATTCCAACAGGTAGAAGAGATGGGAAGGTATCTTCAGCAATAAATGTGAGACCAAATATAGTAGATACAAGTTTTTCTATGAATGAGATGATCAAAATCTTTACCTCAAAAGGATTGTCTCTGGATGACCTTGTTACCTTATCAGGTATATGCAGCTTCTGAATTTAAGCCTGCAAACGAGCCGAGATACCCATGAGCAACATGAAGCTCAGAATGAAAACGCGTTCGAGCTTGTTCATTGTACTTTAATGGATTCAAGCTCCAAGTTGATGCTTTTTTGCCTTTTGCAGGTGCTCACACTATAGGATCAGCTCATTGCAGTGCATTCAGTGATCGATTCGGAGAGGATTCTCGTGGGAAATTCGTAGTGATTGATCCATCTCTAGACACTAACTACGCAAATGAGCTAATCAGACAATGTCCTGCAGGAGCAAGTGAATCAATCACAGTTAAAAATGATCCTGAAACCTCCATTACTTTTGATAATCAGTATTACCGAAATCTTTTAACCCACAAAGGGCTCTTCCAATCGGATTCTGTTCTTATAGAGGATGAAAGAACGAGGAAACAAGTAGAGGAATTTGCAAATGATGAAAGTATGTTTTTTGAGAGTTGGAGACAGTCATTTTTGAAGCTAACTAGTGTTGGAGTTAAGACAGGAGAAGAAGGGGAAATTAGGCGTTCTTGTTCAGTAACCAATGGGTGAAATTATGATTGAGAGGAACAGGAAATTAGACTGTTGCTTTCAAGGCCCAAAATCTAGCCCATTTCAGTACTCCTTTTCGGATGTAGCCCAATGTATCTATTAGTTTGTTCAATTAATTATTTTTACTTTCATTAAAAAAAAAGTCAATTTCATCTTTTCTTAATTAATTTATGGTCAAAGAGACTATTTTAGAGACAAAAAAAAAAAAATAATCGAATTATAATTTAAAAACCTCGTAATTAATTTTAAAAATGAGAATTTTTATTTATTAATTTAATTGCCAATTTAATGATTATTTATATTTTTCCTTTTTTTTTTTTTGAACTATGGAGTATGAATGTTCTTTGTCGTTTAATTTTATTAACCATGAAAAGCGTCACTGGGGGGATTTTCTTTTTTCTTATGAATATTCTTGGAAGATAATCGACGAAATCAGAATTATCTAAAAAACAAAATAAAATAAAATTCAGGCTGATACAAGACAGAAGAAATTTAATTAACTTTTATTTTTTTAATTTTTTTATACTATGAATGATATAAAAAATTAAAAATAACTAATAAGCAGAAATATCTCTACATCTACTTACATCTTTAATCTTCTTTACAGTGGAACTATTTCTACAGAAACAGAGTCAGAAAAAAAAAAAAAGAAAAGAAAAATTAAAATGTCAAACAGTTTGAAATATTAGAAATAGAAACTATTGTGTGGCTACAAACACTGCAAATTGCTTGCAAGAAATTCACAATTTTTCTCTTCTTTACAACTTCTACACGTTTCCTCACTCTTTTTCTTCTACTTCTTCTTCTTCTTCTTCTTCTGCAGAATCATCGTTAGTAAAGAAACTGCTTTCATGGCTATACCATTTCACCCATTTCTCTCTCACGCTACCTCTCTCTCTAAACCCCTCTCTTTCTCTCCCAGACTAACACCACCAACAGCCCTACAAATTAAAACCCACATACTAAAACCATCACTCATTAAGCCATACCCAACAAAGTGCCATGCAACTACTGATCTGCAAAGCAGTATTTTGCCTGGGAGCGGCAGAGGAGAAGAAGACGATCACATGGTGCTAGTAGGCCCCTCTAGCGAGGAGGAAAGGAGAGGGGAGAGAGTAGTGGCAGATTATCATTGGACGGAGGAATGGTACCCACTATATCTTGAAAAGGATGTGCCAGATGATGCGCCTTTAGGACTTACTGTTTTTGATAAACAAATTGTTCTGTACAAAGATGGAGAAGGTGAGCTTCGCTGCCATGAAGATAGATGTCCTCACAGGTAATTTATTAACCTCTTATCACCTTATTTCTATTCTTATCTTAGGAAGATAGAAAATTTGTATTTTTGCAACAAGGAGACTGAATTAAGATCTCAGCCACCGTAAATTTTTGAACTTCGAAGCAGATTAGCTAAACTATCAGAAGGCCAGTTGATAGATGGAAGACTCGAATGTTTATATCATGGCTGGCAATTTGAGGGGGAAGGAAAATGTGTCAAGATACCTCAGGTTAGTCATCATTTTCTCGTTACATATATATACAGTTGAGATCCCTTCAGTTCTTGATATCCATTTATGTCTTCACCACAGCTTCCTGCAAATGCTAAAATTCCCCGATCAGCTTGCGTCAAAACATACGAGGTGAGAGAATCACAAGGAGTTGTTTGGGTATGGATGTCTCAAAAGACTCCACCAAACCTGAATAAGCTGCCTTGGTTTGAGAATTTTGCGAGGCCAGGGTTTCAAGATACTTCAACTGTCCATGAGCTTCCCTATGATCACTCAATACTTCTTGAGAACCTCATGGATCCAGCACATATTCCAATCTCACATGACAGGACAGACTGGACAGCGAAAAGGGAAGACGCTCAGCCACTGTGTTTTGAGGTCACTGAACGAACAGACCGGGGGTTTGCAGGACGGTGGGGAAAGGAAAAGGATAATGGGTTGCCGAACTTCTTGAGGTTCGAAGCGCCTTGTGTTCTTCAAAATAATCGCGAAATCATCGATGAGAATGGTGAGAAGCAATACTTTACTGGGCTTTTTCTTTGCAGACCAACTGGACAGGGAAAATCTATGCTTATTGTGAGGTTTGGAGGAACAAAAAGATCATATATAGCCAAATGGATACCAAACTGGTACTTTCACCAAAATGCAAGTAAGGTTTTTGAGCAAGATATGGGATTTTTGTCATCCCAAAATGAGGTTTTAATGAAAGAAAAAGTTCCTACAAAGAATCTTTACCTCAATTTAAGGTCTTCAGATACATGGGTAGCAGAATATAGGAAATGGATGGACAAAGTTGGACATGGAATGCCTTATTACTTTGGGCACAGCACAATCTCTCTCCCTCAAGTACCTGCTGTAGTGGAACACGCACCAGCTGGCCTTGTTGCCGGAGTTTCAGCTTCCTTGCCGGCAAAGGGTGGGATTGGAACAATGCACGCACCCAATTTTGCCAACAGGTATTTCCGGCATGTAATTCATTGCAAGGAATGCAGTAGTGTTGTTAAAGCTTTTGATGCTTGGAAAAATGGCCTTTCGGGTATAGCTCTTATATTAACTGCATTGGCTATTTTAGCATCAGGAAGGCAGTGGAAGTCATTTTTTCTGGTATCAGCAAGCTTATGCTTAGCAGGAGTTTATGGATGCTCAACTGCTATTGCGATGAACACGACAAATTTCATAAGAACACATAGGAGACTGTAATTAGACTTTGTTTGGTATCAAGTGTGTGTGTGTGTGATGATATTAAAATTATTGTTGGCAAGAATACTTACAGATCCGAAGAATAGTAACCCAATCACTATGAGTAATCAATGGATAGATACAATTATCCAGTGAAGGATAGGACCCATTGAGCTGGTAACCATTTTAAGGAAATGGTTGTCGACCAAAGAGATTTCATTGCGTTAACTATATGATAGAATTAAGATCGAAACACAAATTTGAAGCACTAATTGCATGGAAATTAGCTGCAAAATTTGGAAGCACAATACAAGACAAAATTTCTCAAAAACATATATTGGCACCATGCAAACGCTACCGTTTCTAATATGTTCAAATCACCCGCGTATACACACACAACCTGATGCTTAAAAAGCCTAACTACTGGTTTTGTTATTGGAATCAGCCATCTTTAATCACCCCATCCAAAACCAAAAGCACAGCCTTAAAGTCCAAGGTCCACATGATCACTACAGCCTACCGTACGCCATTCGAGTTGACAGGCAATGGCTGTCAATATAATCTACGAGCTTTGGAGCTGGATGATAATATGTAAGATGAACGGGTTTTACCAGTTTTTGAGTCATGTGACGAATATCCTGGTGGCAATCCAGTGGTAGAATCGGTACACATGCTTGAATATGGATGTCGAGATGACACATCGGATTCAACCTCATCAAGCATCTACACCAAGAGGATGATTCAGGTTCTTTGGCCAAAATAAAAAAATAATAATAATAAAAAAAAAAAAACAGTTGCAAATAACAGTTCAATCAGACGATTAATCGCTTAGGGCTCCTAAAAAATCAGCTGAAGGGGAATATCAAGTCGCAAAAATTAAAGATGAAGAGGAAAAGAAGTCATCATCATAGATGCAATACCTAGAACAAGTCAACAATGAAACTTCAACTAACCTGTACAGTTTCTTGCAAAACATGGAAAACTTCACGAGCATGTTTTCTTTTTTTGACAACCTCATCTTGCTCATGCAACAGCTCTTCGAAAAGGCTTTCCCTAAAACCCAAATGAAATTAAGATTTAAATTGTAAATCACTGTTGTAAAATAAAATTCAAGTCCCTAATGAATTCAAGTTGTTTGGCAATAGTTACCCTGTGAATTCAAATCATTTGGCAATAGTATCCTGATATGCATGCCTCCATCCATAAAAGTTAGACCATCTTAAAAAATATTATGCAAATACCTGTAAAGTTTCTGGATGAAGGTGTCATGAATTTCTCTCTTAGTATGATTGACCTAGAGCATAAAATAGTTGTTTGATCTTTAGATGAAATGGACAGAGCATTTCAAAAGAAAAAGAAAAGATATGGAGAGAAATATCAAATGAATATAATTACCAAAAAGTGCATTATTGTCTTTGGAACTAGGTCTTGAATGTTCTTCCTAACAATGTCATAGTAGGACTGGAAAAGCAATTTGGTTACAATTATTTCCACTGCTTCATGCTCTGTCATTTCTAGTGGCCTCAAGATAGATGGGGGCTGTAATAATAAGGAGAAATTGTAACACAAATATCAAACAGATGAAATTTCACGACATATATAGAAAGACCAAGGTTTTTCCAATGCATGTTCTCACCTCAATCAATTGGATTGCTGATGATGGATATTCAGTATCATAGAAAGGTTTACCAAGAGGTCTGCTGGATGAATTCTCCACAGGTGATGCCCTGCTACCAAACAATGTTGAAATACCCCAAGTCCTTGTGGGTGTGTTACCACCTAGACAGATAAGTCTGAAGTTAGCTTATGCAATTGGAAAACCTAAACAACTCTTGCCGTGGTCATTGTCCATGTGCATATCTTAAGAACTAAATTCAGTATTTTCCACAGGCTTTCAACTAAATCCGAGACGAGATTGCTTATGTCATACACATGCCACAGAAGTAAAATACAGTAGCTTAAGTGATTATTGAGAAACGAGAGGTTACCTGCTAATGCTTTGTCATTATTTGATTGGGGACAACCTCCCTGCAGCCAAATAGCAAACATGAAGTTAAAACAAGGACGCAGTTGAAGTTGGATTATCTGCTAATGAATCTAAGGTCATTCCTGCCCTTGGAGAACCTGCTTTTACTTTTATTCCTCATTTAGAGTACACATTCTCCGCTCTCTTTACAAGGAACTTATTTCCTTGCTGCATAATAATTACTTGGAATTCATTGTTTTGAATAAATTTTAACCCAAAAATTGTTTTCACCTGATTAGCTGTAGTCCCATTGAAAATTGACCCAAAAAGAACAACCCGGGATCTCTTCCCTTTCTAAGGTGCGGATACACTTTCAACCTTAATGCTATCCTAAATGATGTGATAAAGGAATCAACTGTGTTAAGATGCGCACAAATAAGAACCAATTATGCAATGAGAATAATCCCACAAACTATGACAATTTAACATTTACTAGAAAGTTAAAAATTCCATATGATCTCTATCCATATCTGAAACAGATCTGAATTGAAATGTGTAACCAGATCAGGAGATGAATTGAAATTCAAAAGATGCATATTTCCTAAACATAAATTTGTTTCTTAAAGTTGGGGCTAATACCTGTGACAATTTCAATTGCTGCATGGCAAGTTCAACTGCCTTTTTCCCCCCTATAAAATTTGGATGTGAAGAATTTATATAGTCCATCTGAATTTATGAGAAAGAAGGTGAATTAGCATTCGAAGAAATAAAACAAATCAAAGCACATAAAAGTTTACTCCTACCAATATGGAAAATACAAATCCACTTGATTTCTTTACCCAAACTGCTACCATAGGAAGTTGCAGGTTAATGCCTAATAACTAGACCCACCAGTAGGTGGTTCTACCCAAACCATAAAAGTTGTGGGTACATTAACTACTATAAGTAGTGCTAGTATATCAATAACATATCCAACAGATAGATCACCATCTAAAGTAAGAAGCATGACAGGCATTCTAGCACTGCTTGCTACTAGACATAGAAACTGAAATTGAGATGCAAAAAGTTAAATCTAAACAAACCAACTCAATCTGAGTTCAAGCAGAATAACATAATAACTATGAATTTCCATTCATGAGTATTCTTGATTCTCCATTTGTTAATCTCGACTACAAATACAGTAAAAGCCAATAAAATGACGTTTTAAAGCTTTAAGATTTCACTTTTGTTTCAAGAGAAAAAAAAAAAACAGATTATGGAAATCTGAATAAAAGAAAATATTCCCAGCTTAGCTTAAGTTAATGTATGCTATTCTGGGAGACAGAATAGGAAAACAGGAAGGAGGAGAAGAAAACAAACAAGTAAAGGAATGACCTCTATCTCAATAATGTTTCTTATCATACTCTCAGCTGGTTTTACACCTTCACGCAAAAACTTTCCCATGACTTCATATAGACGCCTTCTCAGGTATGGATATCTCTGCAACTCAGTTGCTTGACAAGAGTGGCTCATCTGAGATAATCATATCTTCTTAACATCACCTATGACATTAAAATCACAGCAAAATCATGGTAAAGCTTCTAAGTATCATAGTAAGAGATGGAATTTTTATAACCTTTATCAGCTCATCATGTACAAATCTGAGACAATGGAGGCTAGGCTCTATCAACCGTGAGATTTGTTTTCTAACCAAAACTTCAAAAGGAACCTGAATCATCATTCTAAGAAATGGTCAAACTAGCATGCTGCACAAAATCAAGACAACAGGACAACCACATGGCAGACTCTAAACATACAAACTACCATACACAATAATCGCAATGCTCACCTCTGGTACAAACAAAGCATTTCTAGGACCAGTAGCATTTTGAATAGCCATTCTAATGTCATCATCAGTTAGACCTTCACAAGGATCCACTTCCTACAAACAATGCTAGACAGTCAGTAGCAGATCAAATTTTAAACATTCAAGAGAAAAACACAAGGATCAAAACATCAATCATCATGGATATATTAAGAGGTGGTCTTATGTCCTTTCATATAAAAATAAGGCACAGAAGAAAGCAATAAGCAACGTGAGCTGTACATACCTTCAGGGTTTTAACAAATGAAAGATAGTAATTTAAAACAGAATGAGCAAACAAAATGAATTCCACACCTCCAAGCTCTTTACAAAAATAGACTGAAAAATGTAGTGGATCCTGGCTCCTCCACACAACTCTTTAGTCAAAATCTCCTGACTTTTCCCATCCACCATGGCAATGAAAGCTGTTGAATGATAATCAGGAAATATCAATGCTGATAAATAGGAAAAACAAAAAAAAAGGGGGGGGGGGGGGTCACAATTGCTGATAAATTAGGAAAAACAAAAAAAATAAAAGGGGGGGGGGGGGGAGAAGAAAAGAGTAATTAGCAAATGAATTGCATATAATTACCCTTGCATATGGGGGGGGGGGGGGAGAAAAAAGATATTGCATGAATGCAATATTACCCTTGCATATGAGAAGGCAACCTTTCCACATATTTAAATGCACTATAGATATCACTCTGAATCAAGAGCCTAAACAAGGAAATCTTACCTTCACAGTATCTTGTTAAGATGTTCAACAGAATCACTCCTTGTTCTCCCTAGATAATGGCAATATGAAAACCAAATTTCTTAGAAAGATAAATAGTAAAATATATCAAAGAAATTCTATTTCAGCATGCCTACAAGTAAGGACATGCACATGAAAGCCAAGCCCACATGCAAACATATGAACATTAGCATATGTTAATATGTGTGTATAATTGATGCTCATCACGAAGACACGTAAAAGTAGCTTGTATACGACTATGTCCAACAGTAATGAATCCAAACTTTCCCTTTTCCTTAGTCCACCAAAAAATTCAAATTATAGACTGTGAGCTACAATGTGCAAGGTGACGACGCTGAACATTTAATATTACAACATTCTGTTAGTCCCAGAATTAACCAATTACTTCAACTTTATTATTGACCTTGCTTAAATGCAATGGCATTCCAACCACACAAAAAGAGACAAGTTCATTGTTCATTTGACTGTCCAAATTGCATAGTATCACTAAAACTTGTTGACCTTATTACAACAATTCACACAGTTTATCATGGTAAATAGAATACATACTTTCAACTCAATGCCTTCACCATATGTGTGCAACTCTTTCAACACAGAAGTCATTCGAGAATTCAACTCAGCCTTCAAATTTGGAAGAACAATTCGGATATGTTGTTCCAGTATCTGAAATAAAATGTCAACAACACCACATAAAGACATAGGATAGACATACACACACATGTGCACACAAACACACACACACACGCATATATGGAGAGAGGGAGAGGAGAAGTAGCTAAAGATGGAAATACAATTCATAATTTCCCAAATACTCCCTTCACGTGTTTCAGTTCAAACTTTTTGTAAGTTCAATGAGAATTATCATACTATGACTACTATGGAACAGCCTTAATTTCTTTCATTTCAGTCAATGAAATGTATAAAACAATTTATGATATGCATAAAGAACATACAAAAGGGAAAGAAAGTGAAGGCAAAATAAATATTTCCATGAAGGCGATTTACTGTATATTCAAATTTTCACTCACATCACAGATATTCAAACAAAGAAGAATTTTGTTTTAAGTTGCATTAGGACCGACCTGATTGAGCTTCTTTGCCAACTGAGCAATCCCAAGCCGATCAGAAAGGCCATTATATACCTTGAATACACCCGCCATTCAACAAGTTCAACATTATCCCAATAATATGACAATGGAATTAAAAGTTTTTTTTTTTTTTTTTTTTTTCTGAGCAATCCCAAGCCGATCAGAAAGGCCATTATATACCTAATAACACCCGCCATTCACAAGTTCAACATTATCCCAATAATATGACAACTGCGAATTAAAAGTGTTTTTATTTTTGTTTTGTTTATTTTTTGAAGTGATGGTGAAAAGTGACAGGATGATTATGCTGAAGATATATGACTCCTCACCTTATTTTTTTTTTTTTTTTTTTTTTTTTGAAGGAGTGAAAAGTACAGGATGATTGCTGAAGAATTGCTCCTCACTACCCAGTGCATCTTGAATCGTCCGGTTATAATTAATATCCTATTAATACGTCAAAATATAAATAGTCAGCTACACAGCAGCACTTCTTAGAATATGTCATTTATCTTCAACTAAAATCAAGATAGGATCACAGCTACAGTTTTTGAATAACTGATAAAAATATGGGAATTTCTTTGGAATGCAGTACCAATTATTTGCATGATCCACAAACAAGGCGTGGGAATGAAAAATAGTTGATAAGAGATCTCAGTCCAAAGTTAGCCCATAAAACTAGTAGCATGAAACGTAGCTCACCAACTTGCAAATTCTGTTCAATTATAACCTCCATTAGCTATCCCACTAAATCAGGGAGCAAAATGCAATTTACATCAGCTAAAGGAATTATCTTTAGTTTATTCTTCAGTGAGCCACAATAGATGCCACTTGGCCAATTTATCATTAAAGACCTATTATGCATCCGAAGGATTTTTCTACACAAACATATTATTGGATGAAATAGCTAAGTGAATGGCTTGTTTGTACATGTTTTAAGAGTGAGAATGAAATATGCAAAGGTTACAAATTAAGGGCCAAATCTGAAATTACTCCTTGATAACAAGGATAAACAAATAAATAAACTTATAGCACATATTATTTTCAAGGGTGGAAGAAGGAGAGGAAGAAAGATTATTGACTTGCCAGAGGTTACCTAATTTCCACTTGTCAATATGTTGTTTCTAAGGCAACATGAATTATCATAGCAGCAGTTGAAAAGAAATATTAATGCCGCAGAGATGATAACCATACAAAAACAAAAATTGAATGTTGCAGATTATGGTCTGTGACAATTCAAACCTCTTGACTGCGATTCACAACACCAACATAACCGAGACGAAGAGGAATAACTCTTCCAAGCAGAAAGTTACATGCATCAGTGCCTCTGTCCATTATATCAAGCTACAAAGGAGGCAGGAAAAATAAGTACCAAGCGATGATGTTGTTTATGCTCATAACCAAATCAGGAGGGTACCAAAGTTATAGGAAAATAAACTTCTTATCAGGGAAACAAGAAAAATAAACCTTTGTGATTACACCAATCGTCCGAGAACCTACAAAGGTTGTGTGTATGTCAGACGCAGTACATGCCAACTACTAAAAAGAAAACAGAAAAAAAAAAAAAAAAAAAAAAAAAAAAAAAAAAAAAAAAACCAACTTCGAAAGACCTAACAAAGGAACATCTGAATGTGGTGAGTACATGTCATAGAACGCTTGAAGTCACATGCCAAACTACTAAAGAAAACAGAAAAAAAAAAAAAAAAAAAAAAAAAAAAAAAAAAAAAAGGAACAATTAAACGTATAAGCTTTTCAGTACCTAAAAATTTAACATTTCTAGAAACAATTTGTAGTAAAAAGCCAAAACCGTACCCACCGGTGGATTCACGAACTTGCTCGTGTGAGCCACTCACATTCGTAGAAGAGCATCAAGTACAAGTGGCCAAATACGGTAAATATGGCATAGAGCGAGTATATTTAATATCTGCTAATATGAATTACAATTTTCTAAAAAAAAAAAAAAAAAAAAAAAAAAAAAAAAAAAAAAAAAAAAAAAAAAAGAACAATAAACGTGGTACCTAAAACTTAACATTCTAAAACAATTTGTGAAAAAGCAAAACCTACCACGTGGATCCGCTTCTCTAGCCATTTGAAGAGCATCAGAAGTGGCCAAATCGGAATTGGCAGGAGTTACTGCTAATATGATACAATTTTCTTGGGTAATATGGGCCATTATCATCTTCCTAATTCTTGTTTCTATATCTTTCGGTTGATCTCCCACGGGAACCTTGGTAATGCCAGGTAAATCTACAAGCGTCATATCAAGAACATTTGGGGAAGAAATCTTTAAGCGAATTTGTTTATCTGAAACTCCCTTGTTTAAGCCTGCTTCTCTCTCTGTCTCAGCCTACATCAAAAGAACACCAAATCAAAAACCACTGCAAGTTATCTTAAATCAATCCACAATCGACTACTGATGACTAAAAGTCACTTTATTGGCTATATTAAAATTTCATATCTGCATTATAAGCTCTAACTAATTCACCAAAAAATTCACTGTCCTTCCAACTATCACTGCAAAATGATTGTAATCTTCAAAATAACCAATAACTCGAACTAGAAGAAAATCATAATTTGGATAAAAGAACACCTGAATCTCTCTTCGAATTCTGGAGAAATCATAGAAACGCTTGCCAGGCAAATGTCGAAACTCGCCCCACTCAGAGCCATCGTCATCAGGCGTACGAGGCCGATTCTCTAGCATTAAAACGAGTGGTCTACGAGTGCAAATATCACATCCACGTGGCAGAAAGTCACGACCAACAAGAGCTTCGAGCACACTAGACTTCCCGCTGCTCTGACTACCAACCACCGCCACCTGCGGCAACGATATCTTCGTTAATTCGTCGCCAACTGGCGCTATGATGTCCTGTAGCTTATTGATTATCGGAATGACCGATGAACCGATGGTCAAAACCGGTTTCACATTGCCGTTTGGATTTGCCTCCTCCCCCATTTTAGTGAAACAGCAAACTGAGAGAGAAAACAAAAGTGCGCTGCAGAGGGAGAGAGAAAGATAGGGTTTTAGTAGAATGGTAGTTAATAGATAGCTAAATGCTTGAAGATCAAGCAAATGAGCAGAAAGTATAGTCTTACGAACGAAGTTGATGAGACGACCTCAACTTTCGTCTTGTGGAAGTCCCCACGTAGACGTAGGTGGAGTTAGCCTCACGGAGACGGACCCACTAGTCCTCTACGTTACTGAAAAAAAATAAAAATAGGCGAAAAGGTGTTGATTGCTTTTCGTTATTGGATAAAAAGTTAATTATGGTAATTAGATTTTTTTTTTTAAACGTGCAATGCACATATTTAAATTTTATATATTATAATTAAATATACTTAATTTATATATGGTTTTTTATTAATTTTTTGTTACAAATTATAATATTGTGAGTAATCATATTACTAAAAAATATTAAAGAGTATTTATAAAATAGAAAAAAAAAATTGTATGAAATAATAAAATAAAAAATCAATAATTAGATAACTTGTTAAAAAAATAACATGTTTTATAATAATAAAATATAATTATAATTTAAGAATCAAATTTTCATAAAAATAAAACTACTTATTAACTAATTTAAATTTAATTAATTAATTTAATACAATACTTTAACCGTTCATATTACTAAAATACGAGAAATAAATATTACCCATTATAATAATTGATATATTAACCATTATGTAGTGCATATTACAATCGCTTAGAATTATCAAGCATATGTTGATTTTCTTTTTTTTTTTTTTATCAGCAATATTAATTTATTTTATTATAATGTTTTGATTTTTACATTTGATTGTAATGTTTTTCTATTATGAAATTTGGTATTCTTCCACATATACTAACTAAATTGAATTGAGATTCAAACATATATGTAAAAAGAAAAAAAAAATCCCAGCTGTTAGCCTAGAACTTTAATGACTTTTTATGTTAATGTTATAATTACAATTGAGTATAAAAAAAGAAATATTGACCATTTTAAATACGAAAATGTCTCATTTTTAATAATAAAGTTTAATATAAGTAGAAAACTATATATCCAAACACTAAAATTTATGAAATTCAATGATTAAATATTAAAATATTATATAGATTATGAGTTAATTTATTATTATGGTTACAAAAAGCTATATATAAGTTGAATAAGGAATCCTAATAATTTGTAAATAAAAAAAGGAATAATTTAACTTAATAAACAATATTTGAACTCAATCTTAAAATAAAAATAATTTAATTTTAATCTTAAAATAAAGGTAATTTAATTATAATTAATTATATTAATTTTATATTTAATTATGGAAAGTTTATAATTTTAGAACTAAAATAATCATATTAATTGTTAATGATATTATTAATTTTATTAGAGTATGTAATATGTATGTATAACCTAATAATAGTCAATAGCACAGATGAGTTAATATCCTTCTTGATTATTTGGCGACATTGATATCGAAGAAGACCAGATAGAGATGGCGAGCGAAGAAGAGAGAGCAATAGAGAGCCAGCTGGAGCTTCAGTTACAAGAGCAGGAAGATTCACTTTCGGCCTTGAACGATGCTCTCGCCTCAGACCCTTCCAATCTCGAACTGCTCTCGGTACACCTCTCTCTATCTTCTTCTTTCAATGTCTCTCCATTTTCATTTCATTTCCCCGCGATCCCGATTGAGGGCTAGGGTTCATTGATGTTAAGCTTGTCAAAGGTCTCTGCAACAAATCTGATATTGGTAAGGTCAATGTTAAAAAGATTATTTATTAGTATGTTGGCGGATTATTGTGCTTTGTATTATTGGTGGGAATATGTTGAGCCATTGAAAAGATTGGAAATTTGGAGCTCCTTAAATTTTCTCAGGTTTAACAAATCGAGCTTAGCTTCTTTTCATATCCATCCCTTTTTGTTGTTGTATTGCTGTAAAACACTTCAAAGACAAATTTTCTCATGTCCTGAATGAGAGTGCAGATATAAGTTTTAACATTTTTATGTAGCCATGTGTATATGTATCATATATTCTGAATTTTGATGGACATTGGAATTACTTATCGTCTACATATCTCACATTTAGGATCCCCTGTTTTGCTTATGCTAGATTTTTTAGTTTTTTAGTGGAAAAAATAACCATGTGGAACCAATCTTGGAGGGTTGTCTCTGATGCTTGAGTACCCAGCTAGAAAAAGAATACTGCACAGCTAGAGAATTAAGTAAAAAAGAGAAGAAATAACTTCCTCCTCTCTTCTTACCTCACTCCCATAAATATAGTGGGGGTGGGGACTGATGCTATTTTACTTTTTTGGCTGCATCAGTTATCATGGTTATGCCCCTTATTCAAATTTGTTTCCAGAAGATGCTTGACATTATTTTTTTTTTTCCTTTCAGGTTCAAGAGGAGCTTGTTCAGGCAATTAAAGATGCAAAGGATGGACTTCTGCACCTAAAGCGTGCACGCTTACTGCGAGAAGTTGATTCTGCACTACATGATTCAAAGCATACTACTGATGATATCAAGGTAGAGCCTCTTGATCCAAATGACTTCGAACCAGAAACATTGGAAGAGCAAAGTTACTCTGTTGGATCAAAGTGTAGATTCCGTTACAATGATGGACGTTGGTATAATGGTAAAATTATTAAGTTGGAGGGTTCTAATACTGCGAAGGTCTCTTTCCTCACCCCTACATCAGAAAATATGCTGGTGAGTCTTTTTCTTCTGATTAT